AGAAGAATAGTCTTGGCTCCAGAACTTACGAAAATGGTTTTATTTAGCCACTTCTGGACTATTTCGAGCTGCGGTCATATAAAAAGAAAATCAAAAGTTAGAATTGCCATGCTAGTAGCCAACATCTGTAATAGTCTTTATAGGACATTTTCCATAGGAAGCTACTTTTTTGCTGGAATCTCTTCAGGATGTGCCAATACCGATAATCACGATATGCGTCAGTCGCAAACCCTTGTGCTAAATTTTTTATTTAGCAAAATCTGAAAACAATTGAAATGTTCTCATTCTTTTGCTCTATTTTCGTGTATAATCCGGAAAATATTAATACTAGAGAAAAAATTATAAAAGTTAAAAGTTTCGTTATTCAATTTTACATAATATTTGTTAGCTAGATATTGAAAATTTAAGTTTATTGTTGAAAAAATAGCAATAATTAGAAAAAAGTACATAAAAATGAAGTTAATCCTTTAAATGTTTTCGACTTTCCAAACTTTACTTACAAGCTCCATATTCCGCCAAGAAAAACTTCTTAATATGTTTTAAAACGTGTGCTTAAATTTTGTTAAGATCGGTTGGACAGGTTTTGCAGTATAATTTTGCAATCGAGCCTACTGGAAAAAAATCGCAAATTTTCAAATTTATAGTAGGCCCTAAATAAGGCCCTCATATAGTTTTTTTTTACATATAAAGGAAAGACTCAAACTTTTAAACGCTTGTTGTAAAATTTATATCGGTTCACTAGGAGAGCTAGAAATGTGTTTTAAAGTTTGAAACATTTTTTTAGGCTTATAAACAAATTGAATACCTATACGAGCTTTAAAAACATATCCAATTTCAACAAATTTATATACTTAAAGAATATTCAAAGAACGCTTTTTTTAACACAAATGATACATTCGGCATACTAATTGCCGAGATATTGAAGGTCAAAGTTGGCTTACATTTGCCATGTAACCCATAAGTATAGAGGGCTCGTTATTAAACAAATACCTCGTTTTGTCAAGTACTTTTTATATGAAAAGTTTTACGTAATGCGCTTCATGGCAACATCCATAAAAAGACAAATAAAAGATCCGTTTTTGCAGTAAAAGTGTCGCTCGGAATGCATGAGAGGTGGTGGTGGGGGATATTCACTCGAAATGTGAATCGGCGAGTTCAAAGATATAGCGCGCGCTAAAAATTGCATTATCTCGGATCTTGTTAACCAATTTTGCTCTTTTTTTATTTAATCGATGTCTCGGACGACAAGGATTTCAAATATCATATTTTAAATACCATTTTTAATTACAAATTTGGAAATTTGCAATAAACAATTGTATTTTAAACAAGTAATTGCATTTTTTCTTATATGCGTTTTTGTTTGAGCTTGCAATTTATACATTGAAGTAAATTGATACTTTTAGTAAACAAATATGTATTTATAAATTGTTAATAAATAATTTGAATTGTTAAAACAAAGCCGAACGAAAACATTTTTTTTTTGTAAAATAAAACTTTTTAAAATAATTAACATTAAAAATAATTTATTCTGTCCTTCCAAAAGAAGAAAAAAAATTATTAAAGATTGAGTCAAAATAAAGTTTATTTATGAAAAAAAAAAATTTTTTCGTTCACTTTTGTTTTAAAAATTTAAATTATTTATTAACAATTTATAAATATAAATTTGTTTACTAAAAGTAACAATTTACTTCAATGTATAAATTGCAAGCTCAAACAAAATGCATGAAGAAAAATGCAATTACTTGTTTAAAATACAATTGTTTATTGCAAATTCGAGCAAAAAAAAGAGCAAAATTGGTTAACAAGAAGCCGAAATAATGCAATTTTTAGCGCGCGCTATGATTTTGAAACTCGCCGATTCACATTTCGAGTGAATGTCCCCCACCACCTATCATGCATTCCGAGCGATATTTTACGCGAAAACGTTTTTTATTTGTCTTTTTTAGGATGTTGCCATGAAGCGCATTACGTAAAACTTTTCATATAAAAAGTACTTGACAAGACGAGGGTATTTGTTTAAAAACGAGCCCTCTATCACTTATGGTTACACGGCAAATGTATGCCAACTTTGACCTTCAATATCTCGGCAACCAGTAAGCCGAATGTATCTTTTTTTTAAAGAAGCGTCTTTTAATGTTCTTTAAGTGTATAAATTTTGAAATTGATATGTTTAAAGCTCGAAAGTTATTCAATTTGTTTATAAGCCTAAAAAATGTTTAAAACTTTAAAAAATTTCTAGGCTCTCCTAGTGAACCGATTTGAATTTTACAAAAAGCGTTTGAAAGTTTGAGCCTTCCTTTATATGTAAAAAAATTTGCAACTATCTGAGGGCCTTATTTAGGGCCTACTATAAATTTGAAAATTTGCGATTTTTTTCCAGTAGGCTGGATTGCAAAATTATTATGCAAAACCTATCCGACCGATCTTAACAAAATTTAGCACACGTTTTAAACATATTAAAAAGTTTTTCTAGGCGAATATGAGCTTGTAAGTCAAGTTAGAAAGTCGAAAACATTTAAGGATTAACTTCATTTTTTTGTACTTTTTTTTCCAATTATTGCTATTTTTTCAACAATAAACATTAAATTTTCAATTTCTAGCTAACGAAATATTGTGTAAAATTGAATAACGAAACTTTTAACTTTTATAATTTTTTCTCTAGGATCAATATTTTCCGAATTATAAACGAAAATAGGAGCAAAAAAATGAGAAATTTTCAATTGTTTTCAGATTTTGTTAAATAAAAAATTTAGCACAGTGTTTGCGACTGGCGCATATCGTGATTATCGATATTGGGCACATCCTGAAGGGATTCCAGCAAAAAAATAGCTTCCTATGGAAAATGTCCATTATGGTCTGAATTTCTACAGATCCCGCCTAGTCTATAAGGGATAGGCACCACAAGAAGAAGAAGGTCATAGATGCTGCGTGTAAAACTATGAGTGGTTTACACTTACTGTATCTCATAATGATACATGTTTACTTGTTTGGCTCATAGTCTCCATCGAATTGAGCAACAAGTAAGAGTTATATATTAACAAGGGAATGTATTAACTTTATCAATGAAAATTGTATTTTTAAATTTTCCGGTTCATGTAAGAAACATTTATGATAATGACCTAGGATTGAATCTGCAGATAGGTCTGTAAAGTCAATGAGAAATATACCATTATTGCATGTAAATATAAAAACTAATATAGTAGCAGAAATAATAAATTGTCGATCGTTTAAATAATATTTCCATTGAAGTCCTCAATCACCACAATGCAATCTAATCTGATAAGCTCTTCAACAATTTTATATAATACTTTAAAATTTGCCATAAAACTTATAGAATTTTTGTTATTGTCAAGAATAAGGTAAGTTGTTTCTGTTTATTATTTTATAATAATATAATATTTTTTTTAATTACAAGTACAGTAAATTTCCTTCTAACTAACAGCATTTTTTCCAATTTTCTGGAGTTACTTTTGATAAGGAATGTTCTAATAATTGTTGTAAGTCTTCTAATTTAAAAGTTTTGTTGTTGCATCCGACTTTACCCTTTACTTGAGACCATATATTTTCTATCGGATTCAGATCACAGTGGTATGATGGTAAACGTAAATAATTACATCACGGTTTAATGCCATTTCATCAATTATATATTTTGATAAGCTGTTTTATGTTGCCTTATTCAACTGCGTGTTTATTCAACCATTCGATTATCTCTCCTTTTTTCCATGCCGTTTTTGGCAATTTTTCTGCTAGTCTTGAATGGTAACTAGCATTATCCATGACTAAGACAGAATTTTTTGGAATTAAATCCAACATTTGCTCAAAATATTCTTTAAAAAACGTCAGCAGTCATCTCCTCCTGGTAATCTTTGGTTGATTTTGAGGCAAAACTCAATAATCCACCATTGACAAAACCGTATTCGTTTCCAATATGGGTTATTATGAATCTGCGTCCTTTTCTAACGGGAATATTGTTTATTCCAGTAGATACACCTACGATGAATGCCTGACAGGAACTTTTCACATTTGTATCAACCCATAGATATAGTACAGTATGACCTTCATTTAGCCAAGTCTCGTCCAAATAAAAAATTGTTTTCTCTACTTTTCAGTACCTTTTAATAGTTCTTAGATAATCTCGTCTCCAACATACAATGTAATCGTTTTCAATTAAAATGGATTTTCTTCTATTCTTTTGCCAATGAAATCCCATCTCTCTCAATAATTCCCATAATTTCTTATTGCTTATAAATGGTAACTCTTCGTTTTCTCTAATTAACGTTTGGATTTTGTCCAATGTTGGAAATTCTTTGTTAAAAAATTAGTGGACGCTGCGTATTATCATGTTTTTATGTATTTCTTTAATTTCCAAGGGTTTACTCCCTCCACTCTTCTTGGGAGATGAAACAGTTTCTCCTTTTCTTTCTTTTAGGAATCTACAAATTGTTGCTTCTCCAACCCCTGTCATATTTGAACACATGTTAACAATTACATGAACATTACTTAAAGGGCGTTGATGTACAAGTGAATCGTGTACATTTAATATTATATTTTTTTCTCTAAGACTGAAGGCACCTTTAAAACTACACTTAACCGGGATAAAACCTGTTGTCGACGTCATTTTTTTAAATGCAAATAACAAAATATCGACACCAAAAACGTTGGTAAGTAAGACATGAACAATGTACATCTATAAACTAAATGGAAGATGCAAACAATTTCTAATTTATATTATTGGCATAAGCTGTGATGTGGCATAAAAACTACTTAAACTATCATTAGTGAAGCCTTATCAGTAATTCCAGGTAATCGTTCAAAGAATGTATTCTTTTTGTATCAGGCGACACCACATTGTTCTTTTCTTGATATGAAATAATCTTACAAAGTTTCTTTAAGAAAATTTACAATATTGTCAAATAAACAAATCTTAAAAGATAACGAGTTAACTACTTTTATTCCATATCCGCCATCGTATGTTTTAAGCGTCTCAAAGGTTTATAATAATGTTGGAATATTTTTATTTCAGAAAAGATATAATGAAAGTGATTGTTGTTATTGCTTGTCTTATTGTGGCAATCGCTGCAGAATTTAATAATTACCAACACTGGGTCTTATTTAAGGTAAGCATAATCCTGTATGATTTTCATTATAAGAGAATGAACAAAAATCACTGGCTTATGAATTAGATAATATTAAAAGTATCAAAGCATTTAACACTTTACTGAAAACTTTTTTTTTTGGTCTTTTCTTGGTCTGAGAACATACCTCGGTCCTAGAAATTGGGAAGAACCGCCTTCCAGCCACGCTTATGCAGGATTCCTCCAGCGGGGCCATCCGAGACCGCAAGCAGGTGTTGTTCGGACACTATATATGGCAATGTTAGTGAACTACCAACTTAAAGAACATCCTCTATATCCGTAACTATCCGCACCAGCATAATTAGCACGCAACGTCGGAAAAACAATTCAACTGATATATCATTCACGCACAATTATCATACATTCTTGCACTTTCTCACTACGATTGAATCCTTTCCTTCCGCTGGTCCTCCCCTTTCATTTTTATTTTTGCTTTTTCTCATTCTACTTAATTATTCGCTTGCTTCTGGGCATCCTGTCTCCCTTCGGGTCGCCTTTCTTCTTGATCCTTTCTTTAAACGTTATCTTCACATATCTCTGAACTATTCCCCACCGACCTGACAACCTTAGTATATCTTCCACCAGTTTCGTGACTAATTGCACCCTGCTTCCTAGCTCTCTCAAAAGCAGACTCCTTTCGTGTGTGAGTGTGTGAGTGTGTGAGCCATTGTTCGATATTGCACAGTACAGGCATTTATTATTTTCTTCCTTTCCAAAGGTATGCTCTCAAGCAGCCATGTCCTGTGAGCATCTGCGTTAGGAAATTATCCTTATCCAAACGCCAATACCGGCACTCCATCTATCTTCTTAGATTAGGTATCAGCAACTTTGTCCACTGTGCCACCCTTCTCATGTCGTCCCATTCCTCTTGGCACACCATAATGGACCTCTCTCTTTTATTTTTTAATCATTCTGTTGCTATGTATTTATTTCTTTTCTCGTACATGCTTCCTCTTTTCTTTACTAGCATGTGCATCGGAATACACTTGGTGATAACTCCCAGTGCCTCGACGGAGGCTGTTCTGTATGCACATACCACCCTCAACAGACTCTTCCTATCTACTGTACGCCTTTTTTAAAACTACACTACCCTTGACAGGCACAGCGTAGAGGACGATCGATTGCACAACAGAATGAAAGGCCCTTCTCCTTTTAGTTTTGAGCTCCTTCGATATTGGGCATGTTCCCCCTCAACGCGGCGGATCTCGTCGCAGCTCTTTGAGTCATCGCCTTTACGTGCTTCCTCTACCTTCCATTTTAACTCAGTCACACCAAAGTACCCCACGAATTACTTTGGAACTACTTTTTTGCACATTTGAATGTTATCCCGTCCCTTTTTCTTGGTCCGTTGAAAACTCTAGCGTCAGTCTTACACGCAACCAGTTTTAGGTAATGCATTTTCATCGATTTCTACATCCATTCCAGCAATGAAGGTAAGGTTCTTCATATGTTGTGCCACTACCAGCGGAACGAGGTCATCAGCAAATGTGAAAAGGATTACACCCTCTTCATATTGTTGGCTTAACACCCCGTTCTATGCCAAGTTCTACAGCGTGGGTCCTAGTACCAATCCCTGTGGCACTCCAGCCATCACTTCAACCACCACTCCTTTTTCTAACACTTTTGCACTCTGATAGATAGTCCGAGAGCAAATTCATAAAGACCTCGTATATCTTCTCTCTCGTAAAGCTTTTATTACCTATTTTCATTTTAATGTATTAAAAGCATTTCAGGCGTTAAACAACAGTAGGATCGCCCACCTCTGGTTAACCCCCCCCCCCCCCCCAACTTTATCACCACATCCGCCGTACTCATGGTTTTTATGAAACCGTACTGCCCGTCTGACTCTTTAATAACTGTGTCTTTTCGTATTCTTAGAAAACTCTTGTATAATTTACCTATGCACGACAGAAGGCAAACAGGTCGATACTTGTCTTCCCCCTTTGGGACATTACTGAATACCAATAGCAATAAATTATAAAATTATAAAAAGTAATTTGGGATAACATCTAATTCAGTAAAAGAATAAGTTCATTTCAATATTAATTTTATAGTAGGTTTTTACTTATTGAAGAAACTACTGATTCAACAAAGTGAATAATAGTTTATTATTATTTACTTATTCCTTATTTACTTTAAAAAACTAAAATATTTTTTTTCATATATCAATTAAGCTTTAAGCCAGTCTAACTATAGGAACCAAAAAAAAATGAACAGATGATAAGATATTTGTAAGAAAGCCATTGGAAGGAGTTAGGTACATTTGTGGTTCGAACAATTTCTTTTTAGACAGAACTTTATTGTTAAAGTGAAAGAGTACTGCAATATATAAGGTGTACTAGCCTGTGGTGTCCTCCAAAGGTCAACACTAGGTGTGATTATGTTTCTGTTGACAGTCAGTTAATAATATATTTTGAATTAATAGTACAAAAGATAAAATACTTATATTACTTTATTTTAAGGACAAATATTCAAAGCATTATAAAATTACAGAAGACAAACTCAGATTCCAAATTTTCCAAGACAACCTTCGCGATATTAAAGAGCATAACGCAAGATATGCCAGAGGAGAGGTGGGTTGGTTTAAGGGTGTCACTCCATTTGCCGATTGGACCAAAGAAGAGTTTAAGGCTCTACTAACACGCCAAGCTGATTCAAGGCCAAAGCTTAACGAAAGTTTGGGAGTGTATATAGCCGATCCAAATGTTAATGTGCCATCATCTGTTGATTGGAGAAACGAAGGGGCAGTATTACCTGTAAGGGACCAAGGAATGTGTGGTTCGTGTTGGGCCTTTAGTACAGTAAGTGTTATTTCTCTGGTGTTACCTCATATAAACTGTTTTATTAACTATTGCTTGAGTTTTGCAATTACCTTTTTATTGACGTATATTGCGTTACATTTATAAATTAAAGAAAATAATCAATGTTAAAAGAAAATCCAAGAATTGTCACAAATGAACCTCACACAAGACTAAAACAGGAGCCAAGCAAATCACTGCAAAACAGAATATTATACAGGGTGGTCCCTAAGTAATTGTACAAAATGAAATCGTAGATTCTGCACTTTAAAATATTACGATTTAAGCCAACTTGCTTTAATAAAATGTTGGTATTAAGAAAGATACTGGGTGTTAAATTGGAAATTAAAAATTTTATTTTTTACTATAACTTTCACGTTTGTCAATATTTGTGGATAAAAATTTGTAATTATTGAATGCTTTTAAGTTTACTTACTCCGTGGCGTTACAACCCTTCGTGGGTTTTAGCCGACTCGACAACATGCCTCCACTGTTTTCTGTCTTGAGCAACCTCCATCCAATTCTCCACGCCCATAGTGCTTAGGTCTCCTGCTATATTATCTCGCCACCGGAGACGAGGGCGTCCGCGTGGTCTCCTTCCAGTTGGGACTTCCTCCCACACCAGTCTTACTGTTCGTTCGTCAGAATGTCTTCTGAGGTGTCCTGCCCATTGGAGTCTTCTGGACTTTATTTCTTTTATGATGTTGGCTTCTGGGTAAAGTTCTTCAAGCTCTTTATTAGTTCTTATCCTATATTGTCCTGATGCTTCATCAAGCACCGGACCAAAGATCTTCCTTAGGATTTTTCTTTCCCAAACACGTAGTCTCTCTTCATTTGCCTTTGTTATCGTCCACGTTTCGCTTCCATACATCACAACGGGTCGTATGATTGTTTTATAGACCTGTATCTTCGTACGTCGTGTTAGTTGTTTTGATTTTATAAGGTTTTGGAGGGCAAAAATACATCTGTTGCAGGCCTGAATCCTGTTATTTATTTCTTGTGATCCGTTATTGTCTTCAGTTATTGTGGTTCCAAGATACTTGAATTCTCTAACGAGCTCAAAGTTAAAGTCATCGATGGTAATGTTCTGACCGATTCTGTCTCTGCTTTGGTTATTGCGGCTCATATACACATATTTCGTCTTGTTTTCGTTGATTTGGAGCCCCATCTTCTCTGCTTCCTTCTCAAACCTTACGAAAGTCTCCTTCATCCTCAATCGCGTGTTTCCTATTAGATTTATATCGTCTGCAAATGCCAGTAGTAAGTTTGGTCGTTCTTAATGAAATACTGTATTCGGTTTTTCGATTCTTGCACTTCTGATTATGTGCTCCAGAGCTAAGTTGAAGAGTTGTGGTGAAAGTGCATCTCTCTGTTTTAGTCCATTGTTTATTTCAAATGTCTCCAAGTATTGTTGTCCAACTCTCACCTTACATCGTAACCGTTCCATACACATCCGTATCAACCGGACTAGTTTTTTTGGAAAGCCAAGTTCCTGCATCGCTGTCCACAGTCTGTCCCTACATACTCTATCAAATGCTTGTTTAAAATCTATGAACATCTGATGAAGCTCACGATCAAACTCCCAGCATTTGTCCATTATCTGTTTTATTGTGAATATCTGGGCAATTGTAGAGCGGCCCGGTCTAAATCCGCATTGATAATCTCCAACGATTTCTTCTGTGTATGTTTTGGTTCTTTCTATCAGGATGTTTGCAAGGATTTTGTAGGTGGTGTTTAGGAGTATTATTCTCCTGTAGTTAATACATTGCTTTTTGTTTCTTTTTTTGTGTATTGGTATAAGAACCCCTTCTTTCCATTCATCTGGCATTTTTCCTTCTTGCCAAATGTCTTGAATTAGCTTGTATATCGAACTGTACAACGCTTCTCCTCCATGTTTTAAACACTCTGCGGGTATACCATCGCTACCTGGTGTCTTATTATTTTTGAGTTTTTTAATTGCCTGAATTACTTCTTAGGGAAACTATATAGTAGGGGAAATTATAATTTGATACATACTTTAATGTCGCTAATAGAGGGCGCTACACTTGCCACATATGTGGCATAAATTTACACTTAACTTTTTTGCTCTTAAATTTACCGGTATTTGTAACAAAAAAATACTAAAAATACATTATTTTTACAATGAGAAGGTATACTTGTTAATAACTTAAAAATTAAACTATTTTTGAGATAATCGCATTTCATAAGTCAGCTGCATAATAATTCTTAGTTGTGATATTTATGCGGTAAAGCACTGAATACTTTTAGATAAGCATAAATAATGGTTTGTTCTTATTAAAACAACTTAAAGACGATAATGTAACATTAGAACGTGCTTTGTTATGGCTGCTAAATGTCTTATTGGAGAGAAGCTTATAGCTTCTTCTTTAGGTGCCCTGTCCATATTCAGACGTTGGTCGTAATCATGTTTACAATTTCCTTTCTCTATCGTTTTTATAAGTTTCTATACTGGTGTTTAAAAGATTAAAAGTTTTAAGGTTCTGCGCTGACAAATGACTGAAGGATCGAAAAATATTTGTAAACTTGTAAATGAAAAAGGAGAAACTACAACAAATAAGGAAGATATTTTAAAAATTGCTCAAGATTTTTACTCAGAATTGTATAAGCGAGAAGATCTTCCAGATCCTGATCAAAATCAAATATTAAAAGTTCAAAATGTAGGCTCAGAAGACATCCCAGATATCAACACAGAGGAAATAAAATCAGCTCTCTCGGAGATGAAAAACAATAAATCACCTGGAGAATATGGGATAGTCATTGAACAAATCAAAGAAGAAGGAGTAACATTACTAAATGTGTTGAAAAAGATGTTCAATGCTTGTTTGACAAGAGGCATAATCCCAAAGCGACTTTTGGAGACACAAGCTAAACAAGCGAAACAATTTGAAAGGTCGCTAACATTTTCCGACAAAGCACAAATAGCTTTATATAAGGTCGCCGAATTAATTGCTTTGAAACAGAAACCACACACTGTTGCAGAATCTCTTATATTACCAGCATGTTGTGAGATGGTCAAAATTATGTTTGGCAACGATGCACAAAAACGAAATACGGAAAATTCCTATGTCGGATGATACAATAAGAAGGAGGATTGTTGATTTGTCTGCAGATATTGAGGAAAAAGTTAAAAATAAACTTTACAAAAAAAAACTTCGCATTGCAGGTGGACGAATCCACTGATATTAGTGGCAAAGCTTATTTATTAGGATTTATTCGATTTGTCGACGAAGGTGAAATAGTCAATCAGTTTTTATGCTGCAGAGAACTTACAGCACGTACAACAGGTCAGGATGTATTTGATTCCATAACGTCATATTTAGAGAAAAAAAATATATCATGGGACTTTTGCGTAGGAATTTGTACGGATGGTGCCCCTTCCATGGTAGGCTCCATAAAAGGTTTTTGTACCCTTACAAAAAAGCGAAATGAAAATATCATATCTACGGACTGTTTCTTGCATAGAGAATCTCTAATTTCAAAAACGCTCCAGCTACTTTGAAATCTGTATTAGACCAAGTGGTTAATGTCGTGAATTACATCAAATCAAGATCACTAAAAACCCGTCTTTTTAAACAACTCTGCATCTCAATGGAATCAAAGTATGAATATTTGTTGCTGCACACCGAAGTTAGATGGTTGTCAAGGGGCAAAGTATTATGTCGAATTTATGAACTTAGAACGAAGCTGTAAACTTTTTTCGAAGAAGAAGGTAATGACACATTTACCACATATTTTGAAAATGATGCATGGTGCACTAAAGTGGCATATTTGGCCGATATTTTTAATTATTTAAATGGCGTTAACTCAAGTATGCAAGGCAAAAATGAAAATATTTTAACATCCACGGACAAGCTGTCAGCTTTCCAGAAAAAATTGTCATTTTGAAAGAAGCGCATTTTAGAGACAAATAAAATGGATATGTTTCCACTGCTTCAAAATGAAGGTGATGAAGATAAAGAACAAAAAATCACGCATATAGTTACAGAACACTTATCACTATTAGAGGAGACAATTGCCAGGTATTTTCCATCTCTGAACTTAAAAAAATATGACTGGATAAGAAGTCCTTTTAGCACAAGTAATACAGCCAATTTCCAGTTTTCTCTGAACCAAGAAGAAGAATTTATTTCGTTTTCATCTGATCGTACTCTGAAAATTAAGTTTTCAGAAGTGAATGTTCAGGAATTTTGGATCTTGGTCCAAGAGAAATATCCACTTCTTGCCAAAAAAAGCGATTAGTATTTTAATACAGTTTTCAACGTCCTATTTATGTGAATTTGGGTTCTCATCTTTAACAAACATTAAAAATAAGAAACGGGAAAGGCTGCTAAACTTAGAACAAGAAATGAGAGTAGCTCTTTCCCACATCAGGCCTGATATTGAGCAAATTTGCAAACGACACCAGGTACAAGTGTCTCACTAATTTGAAGTATTTACTCATATGATGTATTTTGAGAATTACGCTTTTGTTAATTTTAAAAATGTTTTTGTTTTCATATTTTAAGTAAAAGTATACAAATTTGAGTACGTATAATAAAGATAATTACAGAATTTATGTGCTAATCCTAATTTGTTTATCAATATATGCATGTTATTGCTTTGGTGTTCCGCAATTTTTTTCGGTAATTAAAAGTGTTCCGTCGCCACAAAAAGGTTGAGAACCACTGCTATAGATCATCATAAAATGCTGCGAGTATTGGCTGACTGCTGCCTTGACTACCGATATATCGTCTTAATTAAAAGTATTTACGAAACTGGTACAGCTTATGTCCGCCTTCATGAAGATACCAACAAGTTTCGAATAGAACGTGGAATTAGACAGGGTGATACTATCTCCTCTAAATTGTTTACAGCTGTTATTGAATATATGTTCAAGCAAATGAAACGAGAGCATAATATGGGAATTAATATAAATGGGAAGATCTGAACCACCTAAGATTTACCTATGACATCGTTTTAATATCTGATAGAGTTGATAAAGC